CCTTAACTTGCCTTGGTACTATTTGGTTTAGGTCAGGCAATGAGGTTTTGGGTATTACCACGTCATCTTCAGTATCGCTTGTGCTTTGTTGGCCGAAAAGGTTAATCAGCTTGCTGTAACTGGAGGTCGTTTGGGAGGAGGTAGCAGCTCCTTGGATAGGTGCCAGTTCTTAAACGAAAACGATATCGAGTTCACATAATGAAACGAACTTGCTGTAGCTGTGTTGTATCAAGAAGCATTTGAACATTCACCATAAAAATAAGAACTTAACCTTTCTTTTCGGTGTCATTCCGTTTTTCTTCTTGCTCCTCTTCAAACATAAGTCGTCTCCCTCGGGTTTGTGCTTCTGATGAAGGCTGTTCACGTATTTTTTCAGTGGTTTCCTCTATGTTCTTCTCATGCTTCTCCGCACTAGCAGCAGGGAGTGCTTCCGCAGCTTGAGGGTACGCAGATTGCTGTGGTATCGTGTTCACTGCTTCAAGCGTGGTTGGCATAACGCGTCCTGCTCTTAGGTCTGAATTGAGGATGAATAATTTGAAGTCGTGAGACATCTATACTTTTCAACGGAACTGCTTGAATGAGTGTCCTCACCAGCAGGTTTAAATTGCCATTGTTTAGCTTTATTTATAAGTATTTTCATTTTGTTCTTATTGAAGAAGCTTTATAAGAGTCCTAAAAGTCAATCATACTCTGTGCTGCCCTTACCGGCTGGAGTTTCTGTTATACGAGATTTCAAATACCTAAAACCTGGGGTCCTGAACTTCCGACGCATATGGACAGAGTATGATGTAAGCTATTGCCAAAGCAACGCTGATTTCACATCTTTACTACTCAGCTACAAACTGTCTAGATGAAAAAGAAAACATTTTTTCCAGGCGGGGCATGCGAGGTCTGTAAATCACTGGAAGCTTTTTGACCCAGTAGTTGATAGAAAGCCTTGTACTGGGTGAAAGTTTAGACTGATTAAAAATGATTTTGCATTGTTATTAGCGGTTAGAGAGCTATCGAGCAGCTTAGGAACTAAGGGAGCCTGGTCATGAGAAAAATATTTCACAACCGAGGACAGCACTTTGCATTAAGCAAGGCGGACTCAAAGTTAGCATTTAAACTCATTTGTGAATGTACCTCTTTTGAATGACAAGGCAAAATAGCTGCCCAACCGGTGCTAATAGACAAAGACTGCAAGTAAAGCTTAAAAATACATAACTTTATCACGCCGATTATTGCCCGAGCACACTTCATACTCTTATTGACAGTGAAGTGTGTGGTTTGCCACAGAATCTGCGGCACTTCAAAATCAAGATTAGGTTGACAAGTTTAAAGTTTATTTATAATGACTATGAATAACAATACTTCAGCGTGCTATCCTTTTCGTGAGCTTGAACCATCAAATCAATAAATTTTCCTGCCGATTTCAGCTGCACGACTTCTCAGTTATAGGTTAGACGCTTTCAATTATCTAATCAAAACTTCCATTATGGTCTTATTTGATATGGATCAATAACAGCTTTTATGTTGTTATTATAGAATGGATTAGGCCTGCATTGATTGAGATGTTACGCACATTGCTCTCAATAGGTTATAAGAATTTCTTAATTTATTTGGGATAAGCGCTTTGCAGAAAAAGTGCGTAGTCTCAGTTATCCTATTAAACCACAATAACGGTATACATCTCATTATAAAAGGTCAGACCAATTTAGCAT